GGAACTAGGAGTCCTCAGCTTAAAGACGCATCCACAACTGGGGGTAAATTCAAATGAAGAGGGGAAGTAATCTTGGGGCTGAGCCTGTGGCTCAGAGATGATGAGGACACGGCAAATGAGAATGAGCGGCCATCGCCATTGCAAGTGGGGTTTCCGGAACCCTAGCGGAAGAGGAGGCAATGACTATTTGGCATGTGCTAACCCTGGGTCGTGTGAGCCCGCTTTGCTTAGCAACACGGAGACCCTTGATGAGCTTACCAGAGCAAGTTCAATGGGTGGCCGGTGTGAAAGCCTGTCTGGAAGCGAGTTCTAGAGAGAAGGCAGGCACAGAATTAGAAAAACAGTGGGTATGGTCAACCCACTCAAGGAGTTTTGCCGGAGGGAGGAGTGGAGAAATGGAGCTGGGGCTGTAGATATTTGTGAAGCACCTGCTGTTGGGCCAGAGCATACGGTGGTAAGACATAATCACTGTCCTCAGGAGCCCCAGGCTGGTGGCTCGCCCCTTCTGATAAGACCGTTTTTCCAGTCTTTACGTAGTTTATCCTTGTTAGTATTCTTTCAGTAATAAGATCCTAGAGACCTCATATTAGAAGTCCTCTTTCCAACAGGTCTTTTCTGAAAATGCTTTAGCAGAGACCGCATGTTTTATTTTTACCTACTTAGCCTGGGTCCCCTTTGGAATTAGCTCCTCATCAACAATCGTTATTTTAGAAGAGTGTTAGACCACAAGTGCCAACTCTTTTCTTAATGGATTCAGTGCGTTCATAAATCATAGAATGTTTTGTTTAGGATGTAATTCAGAGAAAACACTCCATCTATCTAGCCCCATTTACCAACCTCATCTCTGGCAGGTAGGTAGCCCAATTAGTGTTTGTGAGATTCAGTAGTTCTATTTTTTTTTTAATGTTTTAACGTTTATGTATTTTTGAGAGAGAGACAGACAGAGCATGAGCAGGGAGGGACAGAGAGAGAGGGAGACTCAGAATCCGAGGCAGGCTCCAGGCTCTGAGCTGTCAGCACAGAGAGCCCGACTGAGGGCTCGAACCCACAAACCGTGACATCATGACCTGAGCCAAAGTCGGACGTTTAACTGACGGAGCCACCCGGGTTCCGTCTTTCTTTCTATTTTTTCATCCATTCACTCATTCCCTTAAGGCTTCTATTGTGTCACTATTATTTGTCAGTTACCCTGTTTTAGGGGCACAGCAATGAAAAGGCTCACATAGAGTTTACGTTCTGAGGAGGGGGAAGTCAGTAAACAAGTGAATAGTCAAATAAAACAGATTCCCAGGACGAGTAAGAGGGATTTAAGGGCAACCCTCATCACAGAATTGCTATTGTCTGTCCTGTAAGCCACAGCAAAATTGTCTTAAATAGATATTAAAGTCTTCCCCATCTTATGTAAGTGGGAACAAAAGCTTCCTATGAGAGGCAGAATAATGACCCCCACATATGGCCATGTCCTAATCCCTGGAACCTTGCATGATAAAAGGAATGGTTCAGTTGTGATTATGTTAAGGCCTTTGAGATGGGGAGATTATCTTGGATTACCGAGGTGGGCCCGCTGTAATCCCAGAGGTCCTTATGACGGAGAAGCAGGATGGTCAGAGTCAGAAAGGAGCCGCGGCAACGTACATGGAGGTTGTAGCCAAGGAGTGTGGGCAGCCCTGGAAGCTGGAAAGAGGAGGGAGCAGGTTTTGCCTGGCTCCTCCGGAAGGATTACAGACCTCCCCACACTTGGATTTTTAGCCCCCACAGACCCACTTTCAGACTTCTGACCTACCAAACCGTAAGATACTGAAGTTGTGTTGGGTTAAGCCTCTAGGTTTGTGATAATGTGTTGCAGCAGCAATAGGAGACTATATATAGGAATAGAAATGTGTAGCAGTTGGAAACTCTGTGTGTGCACACACGTTCTTGGAAAGCTGCTATTTTCACGGATCCGGAGCGATGGCGTGAAGTGGCGCACTGGCTATAAATTCAGACACTCTGGCCACCCTTCCCGATCCACTTGCGGTCTGTTAGCCCACGCTTCACAGAAATTGTGGGGTTGCCACCATTATTTCGGATGATGGCAAACAGTCCGAAAGAAGCGTAAGAGGGTAAGGCAATGGCAGGTGACTGCGTGCCCAGAGAAGGCTTCTTTGAGCAAATGACATGCGATCAAATGACATAGGAGCTGCCACTGAAGGCTGAGAAGGAGCCCGCACGCAGAGTGTTTCAGGTGGACGCGATGCCCGGGACGGAGGTCCTGGGGTGAGATGACCTGGTCTGTTAAGGAGTAGCCGGAGAGGAAAAGGTAAAATGGTGGTAGGTGATGTCGAAGAAGTACGCAGAGACCCTTCACGCAGGGTCTGCCCGGTGATTGAGGAGTTCAGATGTTCTCAGTGCGGGGGGAAAGCCACCTGAAAGTCTGGCACGACACAGCTTGCTTACATCTTGCACACTTGGCTTCTGGGTGGAGAACGGCTTCTGGAGGGCAACGATGGTACAGACGAGAGAGTCTGTGCTGGCCCGACTAGGGGGGTAGCCAGAGGGGTGGACGGATTCGGGATGGGGGTTAAGGCGGAGCTGAGGCGATGTGAGGTTTGGAGGGAAGAGAGAAGAAGCAAGCGTCGCTCCTGAGGCTGGGGAGCAACGGCGGGGTGGGGTGCGGTGGGCCCTGAGTCGGGAAGGCCCAGGAGCTCAAGCCAAGGAGCAGGTAAGTTACACCAGCGTGGAACCAGTAAGCCCTGAGGTTTCGAATAACGTAGACGGTCCGTCCTGCGGGTCTGCAAATCCCGTGTGCTGAATAGCATAGTTTTATATAATCACAACACGGGAAAATGCCAGTTGTTGAGCGAGAAGGAGATTTAAAGAGTTATTTCAGACTGTGACTTACTTGAATAAGGACACCTCCAAACCATCCCTAAAAATAAACGTAAGACCATTGCATGAAGAAAAAACAGAATCCCCGGAGGAGAAGATTTTCTGTTCTGATTCGTCGTTTTACTGCATGTACAGTCAGGAAGGTCTTCATTATCTGTCTTCTTCCCTTCATAAGTTAAAACCAAAAGTGGACAGTGTGGAAAGCGGAATAATGGCTATTTTCTTAAATCTCCTCATGGAGTTGAAATGGTTATGGAAACTCTTGCGCGAACTTACGTAAAACAGCGGGTACTTGTAACCATTTGCATGCACGTGTACATTCTGATCGTTCTTGGAAGTAGGTGAATACCAAGGAAATTTATTATAGGCAAAAAATTACGGTGGTGGGTATCTCGACAAGAGCCTTTTTAATTCTGAGTAATTTAGCGACTGTAGAAAGACGTGGCTTAATAATTTGACTTAACAACTAAGTAATTGGATTTTATTTATTTATTTTTTTAATGTTTATTTATTTTTGAGACAGAGAGAGACAGAGCATGAACAGGGGAGGGGCAGAGAGAGAGGGAGACACAGAAACGGAAACAAGCTCCAGGCTCTGAGCCAGCAGCCCAGAGCCCGACGCGGGGCTCGAACTCACGAACCGTGAGATCGTGACCTGAGCCGAAGTCGGACGCTCAACCGACTGGGCCACCCAGGCGCCCCTGTAATTGGATTTTAAAAAGACATACAGGCATCAGCTTGATTTTCCACCCACTGAGTCCTTTAAAAAGTTGATTACTTGATTATTTTAGGTTAATGCTTCCATTCTAAGTTTAACTGTGCAGAATTTTGAAAGTTGAATTTATTGATTAAAATCTGAAAATGTGGCCACTGGATTTCAGATGTATTTGCCATAGCTAAACTATTTTGCATGCTTGAAACAGTGACATGTTTCAAAGTAATGTTCAGTTCTTTTTAAAAGTCATTTTCATTCTAGAAATTTATTATTGGGGTAGAAGGTGTTATTTTGTTGGACTTTTAGTAAATCAGTATTGACAAACAAGTTCTCTGTTTCTGTCTGTCTCTCTCCCTCTCTCCCCCTCCTTCGTCTCCTCCCTCTC